TTAGGAGTTCTAATACAGAGATTTACAATCGCTTCCTGTCCTGATAATGTTTTACCAGACAACAAGTGGGAGAACTCTCCAACCGCAATACAGAAAGAAATAAAAATAATTCCCTTTTGGTAAACACACACTTTGTTCTGTAGTCAATGTCTGACAAGTGTAGAAGATGTGGGGGGGGGGAAACCCTTGGAGTCATTATGTTCACTTGCTAATGTCTGCTGTTAAAGATTGTGTTCATTTCTGCAGCATGTGTGGCTTGCTGTGCCTTAATTTGTTGTTTCTGGAAAGTTGTAGTAATTTGATCTGTAAGATTGTTCTGGGAATAAAGCTGAACTTTGGCTGGGAAGAGGTCAGCACGCACAAAATGCACACATTTTATGACCTATATACACATTGAAGATGCTATTTTCAGAGTAAAGAATCCTGTATAATCAATTCCTGACTGAACATGTTTCATGGGTTTAAGAAGTGTGATTAACCAGGCAGGAAGTGTGTGTGTGTGTGTGTGTGTTAGATCTTCTCCCTTTTTTTTTTTTTTTTAATGTTCTCATACAGAGGAAGGCAGATTAGAAAAAAAACAAACATCCAAGAATTTTTTGTATTACATGCAGGGTGGAGGAGGGGTGGTGAAGTCACAATTTCTACCTCATCCAGTTAGAGTATGCCTGATGTCAATTAGAAAAAAATACAAGGTGTTTTAGAAGTGGTGCCTAGTGAACGGCTCCCTGTAGTCATTGTGCCTTGGGACAGCTGTTCGCATAGCGCTTGAGCAGGACCTGGAAGATTGCAGCTATCACTGTAGTAGCTCCAACTACTACAGTGATTTTCAACTTCCACAGTGGTCCATTTAGGTATGAGTAATGTAATTTTTCAGTTATGTCACTTTCTAATGTGTTCTGTGTTTTTTTTAATTTTCGTTGCATGTGATTGGGTATTCTTTGCAATGTGAGGCTTGTACCTCACTTACTAAGCTCTTGCAGTGCACAGTATATTTGCCTTTTAGTAGATCAACCCCATTGCAGTCTGTTTTTGATCCGTGTAATAGAAAATGGACTGCCAGAATGCCTGTGTGATAGTGGCCTAGAAAGACCAACTGTGTGTTTTTTTTTTTTTTTTTTTTTTTTTTTTTTTTTTTTTTTTTTTTTTTATAATCGAGGCCTGGCAGCATGCTAAGATCTGATCTTCACAGATAAATGTTCCAGTTTCACTGCCTTAGTTGTGAACTTTGAAATTATTTCTTCCACAATGTTTGTAGTTAGAGATGAATTAGTGTATTTAACCAGTTGCCAACCAGCCACAGTACATATACTGCGGCATGGCGGCACCGCTGCGTACAATCGTGTGTGTGTGTATATGTATGTGTGTGATTTTTTTTTTTTTTTTTTTGGTCTTAACCCTCAACATGGACATTACTAAATAAAATGAATTGCAGTTGTATTGGTCTACAGACCCGATTCATCATATGCCCGTGTTCTCTGCTGCCATGGCCAGGCATAGATATGAGAGTATAATGTGTTTTATGAATTTCAATGACAATACACTCTGTCATCCTTGAGGTGACCCTGAATTTTGAACAGCTCCACAAAATACAGCCCCTCGTAAATCACCTTAAGGAAAAATTTGCAGATGTCTATACTCCCCAGCAAAAACTCTGCATTGATGAGTCCCTCATTAATTTCTCTGGCCGCCTTGCATTCAAACAATTTCTCCCCAGCAAGCGTGCCAGATATGGGGGTCAAGATGTATAAGACCTGTGAGAAGGCAACAGGCTATACTTGTAAGTTTCGGATTTTCGAGGGAAAAGAGAGTCACGTGGAGCCCCCCTGGATGCACAGACTACATGGGGAGCAGTGGCGTGTTAGTTTGGGATGTGGTGTCATTCTTTTTCCATATGGGGTACCACTTATACGTGGACAATTTTTATTCAAGCGTGCCACTCTTTAGACATTTGTACAATCTTGGAACTGGCGCATGTGGCACAGTGTGACCTAATGTGTGCCCACCACACACAGGATATAAACAGCGCCATTTGTAAATTGGAAAAGCATCTGATCACACCGATCTCGGTTTGATTAGATAGTGTAAGGGCAGAAGAGATATCTAAAGCCTGATAGACCCCAGATTTCTCCAAAAAGAATGACAATGCCCATTGAAGTTATAGAGGATATTTGCAAGGGCAGTAATTCTAACACTAGACCTCCTCTGTATATCTAAAATGGTAGCTTTTAAAGGCTTTTAAATCGTTGCCTATGGATATTACCACAAGTTTTGGAAAATGACAAACAATTTTTTTTTTTTTTTTACACAAAATTATCAGTTTAAATGATTTATTGCTCACACATGCCATGGGTATATGTAGAATTACTCCCCAAAATATATTCTGCTACTTTTCCCGAGTATGGGGGTACGACATGTGAGAGACGTTTTGACAGTCTAGCCAAGTACAGGACCTCAAAATCCAATAAGCACCTTCAGACTTTTAAAAGGGCTGTATTTCATCATTACACTTCCTGACTACCTGAAATGCCAGGATAGCACCAGCCCCCCCCAATGACCCTTTTTTGGAAAGTAGACAACCCAAGGAATTTGATAAGAAGCATTGTGAGTATTTTGCTGATCTCGTTTGTTGCCACAAGTTTTTGGAAAATGAAGAAAAAAAAAAACATATTTTTTCTTATTTTTTCATCACAAGGTTTTGAAATATAAAAAAAAAAAATCTGCAAAATACTCACAATGTCTCTTTAAATTCCTTGGGGTGTCTACTTTCCAAAAAGGGGTCATTTGGGGGGGTTGTACTATGCTGGCATTTCAGGGCCTTTCGAAACTGTGATAGGTAGTGAGCAAGTGAAATGAGGTTGCGCACCTTCAGACTTTCAAAGTGGTCATTGGATTTCAGATTTCATTGTGGCTAGGCTCCCAAAAAGTCTCACACGTGTGTGGTATCCCCATACTCTGTCGAAGTAGCAGAATGTATTTTGGGTTGTAATTCCACATCTACCTATGGCTTGTTTGAGAAATATATCATTTAAATGACAAACGTGTGTAAAAAAAAAAAAAAAAAAAAAACGTTTTTGTCATTTTCCAGAAACTTGTGGAAAAAAATAAATCTTCCATGGACTCAATATGCCTCTCAGCAGATAGCTTAGGATGTCTTCTTTCTGAAAAGGGGTCATTTGTACTGTCCTGGTATTTTAGCACCTCAAGAAATGTGATGGGCAGTCAGAAAGTAAAAGCTGTGTAAATTCCATTATGTGTACCATAGTTTGTAGACTCTATAACTTTCACACAAAAGCAATCAATATACACTTATTGGGATTTTTTTAACCGAAAACATGTAGCAGAATACATTTTGGCCTAAATTTATATGAAATTTGGGGGTTTTATTTTTGTTTTTCTTTGGATTTTTTTATGACAAAAATAAAATATTGTTTTCTCAAAACTTTTTTTTGTTTTATAGCGCCAAAAATTAAAAGCACACAGGTGATCAAATACCACCAAAAGAAAGCTCTATCTGTGTGGGGAAAAAAAAGGATGTAATGTTAGTTTGGGTACAGCATTGCATGACCGCGTAATTTTCAGTTAAACTAGTGCAGCGCTGTATAGTAAAATAATGGCGTAAATTGCAGTATCTATACCATAGTTTGTAGACGCTGTAACTTTAACACAAAGCAATCAATATACACTTATTAGGATTTTTTTTTTTACCAAAAACATGTAGCAGAATACATTTTGGCCTAAATTTTATAACTAACTTTGAGTTTACTATATATTTTCTATAGCTGAAAGTAATTGTTTTTCTTCAAAATTTTCTGTCTTTTTTTGCGGAGCCATGCAACACTGTACCCATATGAAATTTTTATAATTTTTTTGAGACCGATAGAGCTTTCTTTTGGTGGCATTTAATCACCTCTGGGTTTTTTATTTTTTGCTAAACAAACCAAAAACAATAAAATTTTGGGGGAAAAAAACATTTCTTAGTTTTTATTATAAAATTTTGTAAATAAGTGATTTTTCTCCTTCACTGATATGCGTAATGGGGCTACACTGATGGGCTACACTGATGGACATTGAAAGGCATCACAGATGGGCACTGGAAGGCAGCACTGACTAGCGCTATGTGACAGTGATATGTGGCATTGATGTGCACTGGCAGGTGGCATTGATGTGGCTACACTAATCATCAGCGCCCTGATGATCAGTATACATGTCCCCTCTGAGGAATGCCGATTACCAGCTCTCCTCTCCTTACGAGCTGTCAGCATGACCGCAGAAATGCCGATAACCGGCATTTCCCTATTTACATGCGATTAGTGATCTGCTGTGTCTGAGGGACACAGCGCACCACCGATCGCCGCGCACGCTCAGAGTGGGAGGACGTCCTCCCAGAACGATAGAACTGCCTTGCGCTCGTCATTACCTTATATGGCGGGTGGGAGGCGGTTAAAAAAACAAACAAACAAAAAAAAAAACTAGCTGTTGCGGTTCAGCTTATTTATTTTTTGTCTGTGAAAGCACCTCTGTGTAAGCCTATGTGTCTCTGCACATATAGGTATTTACAAGTGTATTAGACGAGGAGCGTTTGGCAGGCAGAAAGAAAAACCCACCAGAGGTGCTTTCAGGAGAGATAGATTTTTTCCTATTTTTTTTTTTTTTTGTTCTTGTGATTTGACAACAGATTTAACATGTAAGGATGTTTTTCATTTGCACAAAATCCTATGAAATGCATATGGTTTGCATTTTTATTTGTCTGTTTTTATTTTCAAGAAATTTATGGAAAAGCGTGAAACTATTTTGACGTGCGTTACCTTAAAAGCTCGTGCCAACATATGTTACAATCAAAGTGTAAGACTGCAGATTCCTTTTTACAGTGGTTTTTTTTTTTTTTTTTTTTTTTTTTTTTTTTTTTTGTTTTGTGTGTTTTAGAACTGCCTTCACACATTTGTATAACAGACTTTAGCCAGTTTACTACATGTAATGTTTTTACATTCTTGATTTTGTTTTCTTTAGGAAATACGATTTAACTCACCTGTGTTGCCCAATAAGATAGCAAAAAATCCAGAGAATAAAAACAGGAACCGATACAGAGATGTAAACCCATGTAAGTACACTTTAATATGTTTAAACGTTCTGTAAGTTTTTAGCACTAGTGTGCACTATAAACTTAGTGTATGTGGACCCTAAGACTTTGTATATTTGCTCTCTTTTGTTATATATACCACTGAACCTGTGTGGTGGTGGGTTTTTTTTTTGGTTTTTTTTTTGTCGTTTTCAAAAAAATTCAAGGAACAGTTTTTAATCTGAGTATAGCATGAAGTCAGTTAAACTCCTCGGATATTGATCTGGTCAGTTAAGTAGCAGAGGGGGTTGTTAATTAGTTTCAGCTGCTTTGGTGTTAATTAAATAACAGGTGCACTAGATGGGCAACGATGAGAGAACCCCCCCCCCCCCCCCTTCCCAAAAAAAAAACACAGGAATGGCTTTACAGGTAGAGGCCACTGACTTTTTGTTTTGTTTTCCCTACTCCTCTTTTCTGACTGTATTAAACTAGTTTTCACTAGTTTTGCATTTGGCTAGGGTCAGTGTCACTACTGGTATCATGAGGTGATACCTGGACCCTACAGAGGTTGCACAGGTAGTCCAACTCCTCCAGGATGGCACATCAATACGTACCATTGCCAGAAGGTTTGCTGTTTCTCCCAGCACAGTCTGAAGAGCATAGAGGAGATTCCAGGAAACAGGCAGTTACTCTAGGAGAGCTGGACAGGGCTGTAGAAGGTCCTTAACCCTTCAGCAGGACCGGCATCTGCTCCTTTTGTGCAAGGAGGAACAGGATGAGCACTGCCAGAGCCTACAAAATGACCTCCAGCAGGCCGTGTGTGTGTGTGTGTGTGTGTGTGTGTGTGTGTGTGTGTGTGTGTGTGTGTGTGTGTGTGTGTGTGTGTGTGTGTGTGTGTGTGTGTGTGTGTGTGTGTGTGTGTGTGTGTCTCTGACCAATCAGAAACAGACTCCATGAGGGTGGAATGAGGGCCAGATGTCCTCAAGTGGGCCCTGTGCTCACTGCCCGGCATCATAGAGCTCGATTTGGCATTTGCAATTGAACACCAGAATTGGCAGGTCCACCACTGGCACCTGTGCTTTTCACAGATGAGAGCAGGTTCACCCTGAGCACATGTGAAAGGGTCTGGAGAAGCTGTGGAGAACATTACGCTGCTTGTAACCTTGTTCAGCATGACTGTTTTGGTGGTAGGTCAGTGATGGTCTGGGGAGGCATCTGCATGAAGGGACACAGACCTCTACAGGCTAGACAATGGCACCCTGACTGTAATTTGATATCAGGATGAAATCCTTGGACCCATTGTCCGAACCTACACTGGTACAGTGGGGCCTGGCTTCCTCCTGATGCACATCAATGCCTGGCCTCATGTGGCGAGAGTATGCAGGCAGTTCCTGGAGGATTAAAGAATTGATACCATTGAATGGCCCCCACGCTCGCCTGACCTAAATCCAATAGGACACCTCTGGGATATCATGTTTCGGTCCATCCGACGCCGCCAGGTTGCACCTCAGACTGTCCAGGAGCTCAGTGATGCCCTGGTCCAGATCTGGGAGGAAATACCCCAGGACACTATCCGTTGGCTCATTAGGTGCATACAATGACATTGTCAGGCATGCATACAATACATGGAGGCCATACAAACTACTGAGTACCATTTTGAGTTGCTGCAATGAAATTTCAGCAAAATGGACTAGCCTGCTGCATAATTTTTTCACTTTTGATTTTCAGAGTGTCTTTGAATTCAATCCTCTGTAGGTTGATTATTTTCAATTCCATCAAGCGATGGGGCATCCTTGCGTTCCTAACGCATTACCCCGTCCATATCAGTATACATATCCAGCATGATATTTTTTCCCTATTGAGATCTGATGTGTTTTCAAAGTATTCGTTTTAATATTTTTTGAGCAGTATATATAGAATTTTTTTTTACCACTTGAGAATTGCTTTTAAAAAGAAGGGAAACTAAGAGCCCATGCACATCAGGTGTTTTGGACAGCTATTCCAGGCAGTTCCACCATAAGACAAGGCGAAATGTGTTGACTCCTACGTGCCTGGTTCACACCACTGTATTGCAGTGGTGTGTGCTGGAAAAAAGTTTGGCACGCCAAACCTTTCTCCAATTCAGCACTGTGCAAGGCAGACCACTGCCACACGCTGCACAGCAGCTGATACAACTTAATGAAATGATGAAAAAAAAAACATTGAACAATGCAATGCGCTGCGATTTGTACATCGGCAATGCAGTGATCCCACTGCAGATCAGCCACTACGTTGTAGTTTTAGTTTGTTTTTTCCTAATATGTATTTGATCAATAGTTGTGCAAATATCTTGTGACGTAAAAAATACATTTGCTTCCATTTTACTCTACAGGGCCACGGTTTTACAAAAATATATAATCGTTTGATAGTTTAGGGTAATTTCCCGCAAAAATGTTATTGTGCAAGAAATTTAAAAAATTGCTTCGGTATACACAGCAGAAAATACAGTGTGACCGTCAGTTAGGGGTAACACTGCTGAACATTGCAATTTCTTAAACAACCATGATTCCTTGTGCCTCCTCCAGAGAATCTTTAAAAGTAAACTTCTATCCAGCCTGTGGACATTCAAGCATCGACCTAATCTGTGTTGTAAGCTGTTTAGAAGCATACTGCATTCTCACTTCAGTGTCTCTGTTATGAACAGTGAGTGCTTGTTTTTAAATCACATTTACTGCTTGTTAAGAATTATTTAAAATCTATAGCCTGCACACAGGTCTGACTTAAAAATTAACTAGACCTACATGTGACACTGAAAAGAGCAAAGCTCAGCATGTAAAATAAATTTGATGACTCATGAGAGGGTTTATTTGGTCATCAGAAGTTCTTCTTTGGTGCTTTTTTATTCTTGCACCTCACTGGGAGACGTTTTTGTTATGCCAGTTATGCACTCAACTTGCTTTTCTTAGAAAATAGCGGTCATGGTGCACTAAGAATGACAACATGACTTCTTGTAAAAACCAGCATTATTTCAAACAATTTACACCCTTTCAGTATTCAGCAAAATATCATTTTATGTGTCCGTGTGTGAGGAAATAGTGTCCCATCATTCGTGTCAGTGGGAGGAATAGCACCCCATCATTGGTGTCAGTGGGAGGAATCGTGCCTCATCATTGGTGTCAGTCGTGCCTCATCATTGGTGTCAGTGGGAGGAATAGCACCCCATAATTGGTGTCAGTGGGAGGAATAGCACCCCATAATTGGTGTCAGTGGGAGGAATAGCACCCCATAATTGGTGTCAGTGGAGGAATAGCACCCCGTCATTGGTGTCAGTGGCAGGAATAGCGGCCTGTCATTGGTGTCAGTGGGAGGGATAGCGGCCCGTCATTGGTGTCAGTGGGAGGAATGGCGCCCCGTCATTGGTGTCAGTGGGGGGGGGGGGGGATAGTGCCCCGTCGTTGGTGTCAGTGGGAGGAATGATGGGGCACTATTCCTTCCACTGACACCAATGACACTTGCATTGCACCTCTGCATGGCACACTTACCAGCCGCTCCCTCACTTGATTTTCGCGGGACCGCTCGGCTCTGCCTCCTTGCCGGTGATTGGCCGCCTGTGTGCCTTTCCTGAGCTACAGTTCTGGCGCCCAATCACCGGTGAGGAGGCGGAGCCAAGCGGCCGCACGAACATCGAGCGGCCAGATAAGAAACAGCAGCCCCCTGCCCACCCCTGTACTTAGTGTCCCTTCCGTTGGAAGGGGGGCGGCGGCACCGCGCCACCCCCCTAAAAAGTGCTGCCCTGACACCAAGTGTCAGCATGCCGTATACCGGCGTATAAGACGACCCCCGACTTTTGAAAAGATTTTCATGGGTTAAAAAGTCGTCTTATACGCCGGAAAATACGGTATATTAGTAATACATATAAAATGCAGCACTTAAAGTGACAAATAATTGGAAAAAAAACTGTGGAAAATATATTGAAAATAATCAGATAAAGGAAAGTCCCCAGAGATTGTGATGAAACAAAGCAAATCCAAGTGGTCAATCATGCTTTGTTGTAAACAACCCAGAAAGCTGGACAACCGGATCCTCCTCCAGACCACCAAGAACAGCAAAGATCTTCCAAGCAATAGATCCTAATTAGGGTAACTATACCACTCCGTGTGGAATTCAGACTCAAGGTAAGAAACATGCAAAAAAATTATTTTTGATGGACAATTTTTTTATATGATATATTTTGCACTATTATTTTTTCACCAATTACACAGGTCTGCAACTAAAAAGCTGTTTGATTATTTTCATCTAATTTCCATGTATTTTGGTGTGCTGAAAACAAATAAAATATTGAAAAAACTCCTAGATGTCATGATTTGCCACAAAATGCAAAATTTGTCTTAATATTTATCAAATTTTTTTTTTTTTTTTATATTATGGGTTTTTAACCAAATTTAAAGTCCAAATTACTATTAATTAATTCACATAAGTGCATTTAAGATATAAAATGCCAAAAAAACCTTAACCACCTTCCGCCCGCCCTATAGTACAATGACGGGCGCAAGGTGGTTCTCTCGTTCTGATAGGAAGTCATATGATGTCCTACCATTCTCACTGCGCATGTGCGGCTCAGGGAGTGCGCAGCGTGGCGATCGCCGGTCCGCTGTGTCCCTTTGGACACAGCGGATCACGGAAAGAGCCGAAGATGTCGGCTCGGTCATGTGATCAGCTGTGTCCAATCACAGCTGATCACATGTAAACAAGGAAATGTCGGTAATCGGCTTTCCGCGCAGGGGACATCTACACTGATCATCAGGGCACTGATGATCAGTGTGCCCTGATGATCAGTGTGGGCCCCAGAAGTGCCACCTATCAGTGCCAGTGCCCATATCAATGCCACATATACGTGCCCACCTGAGCTGCCTTTCAATGTCACCTATCAGTGGCAGTCAGTGCCGCCTAACAGTGCCATGTATAAGTGCTGCCTTTCAGTGCCCATCAGTGATGCCTGTCAATGCCCATCAGTGCAACCTACCAGTGCCTCCTCATCAGTGCTACCTATCGGTGCCCATCAC